CCCACACCCCGCCGGGCGGCTGCAGGGAGCGGCGCTGCGGCGGCGGGCGCGGGCGGGCGGGCGGGCGGCAGGAGCGCGCTCCCGAGCGGGGCCGCGCCGCGAGCCTGCGCGGGGCCGGCAGGGCGGGGCGGGAAAAAGGAGGAGGAGGCGGCGGCCTCGGGGGCTCCCGGCGGCAGCGCCGCCATTTTCTCCCTGAGAGGAAAGGAGCACTCTGCGGGGCGGGCTGGAGTCGGGCCGGGAGTACTGGCCTGCGCCGCAGCTCCTGTGATCCACGGTCCGTGCCACAGCCATCTCACAGGCTGCAAGGAATACTGACGCTCGTTAAGCATTTTGCCCTATTTTATCCATCCGTGTTCTAAAGAGTTTATATAAGAGCGCACGGGCGGTTTGTTAAAAACGAAGCTTTGTACCTTCAGACAATATTCAGAGTCCTCACAGAACGCAGAACCGTGCCCAGCGCTTCCCACCATCCAACCTCCTGCCATCGTCAGGACCAGTGAAACGACACAGTAACGCCCACAGGAGGGCACGGCCAACTGATGATAATCAGTGCTCTTTAATTACTCCGACGGCAACAGCGCCGTATTTTCAGCCACAGCGGCCGGCCTGCTGCCAGCACCTGGATAGCAGTCCATAATAGCGCTGTACAAGTTCCCAAATACCACAGACACCCCTGAGTAACTGTCACCAACCCCGTGATATTCTGTTCTTGTAATACTCAGAGCTTTTCAGGCTGACAATTGCTGTGAAACATCCTGACACGACCGTGGCTTAGCTTTTTCTGCTGGTGCTTCCCAACGCATGCAGGAATCCCCACTTCCAACATAAAGCAGCAGGGAAATCAGCATTTATTCATTTAGCAAATGGTTGAGTTTATTTATGAGCTTCCATTGCTTCTAACTTGTTGGAAATGCCACTTCAAGACAAGAACAGAAATTTGAGAACCTCTTTGGTATCTAATGTTTGGTCAGTAGGTTAGTGTACAAAGTGATGGAAGTCTCCTGCCTTGTCCAGAAAAAGAAAACATCAGCTCAACAGAATGCAGAAATGCTCACAGCAACACACAGCAGTGAACTTGGAATTGGAAGCAGGGACAGGTTCCATCCACGATGCTGTGAAACCTGAACCAGGCTCTCGTTGAGACTGCTGCTGGATGTGTCTTTGTGCAGTGGCTGCTCTGCATTGTGCCGTGGGCAAACCAATTCCATGAGTCACCTTCAGTGCCCACAGTGCTCAAATATTAATCTGGTAGCAGTGGGCTCTGGTTTCCTCATCCACATGCCGCTAATAAAAACAGCAAGCAAACAAAAAGACAAATGTGTCCGTGACTGCCTTGTTTTGTGAAACCTCCCTTGGTCTGAAGCATAGCTATTGCACAGACTGGGAATTTCCTTCCCATTTTCTTTCTCTAAGTTATCATTACCAGTAGCAGACACTCACATTATCTGTAAGGTAATGCAACCAAATGCTGCCTCTCCCTACATCCAGACCACAAAATCCCATTCTCCTGCACTGGGTCTCTCTGATGGATCCAAATGTTCAAGTTGAGGCATGAGTTCCTCCTGTTGCCAACAGAGAGTCACAGGAGCTCAGTGCTGTCCTCAGCTACGCGGAATGCTGAGCAAGCTGTGAGAATTTAGAGCTGCAACTGTCATGACCAATGCTCTATTTAAGAACAAGTTACTGGAGCTAAAAATTCATTTGTTTGCTAACATACACGGGCTATGTACGGGTGGAAATGTACGTTTTCGTTAAGATTAAGGATTTTTGTTAACATTTCCCTTGCTAAGCAGTAACTTTCAGAGCAGTTGCCCAGTTCTGTTTTTCTGAGAAACATTTTTGTGATGATAAACTTCATACTTAGAATGGTCAAGGTATAAAATAATAGTCACACACTTCATAGTAGGTTATTAATAATTGTTTAGCTCACTACAACTAGTAATTTCTGAGACATTAATTACTTTACCTCTGCTTATGCTGATTAGCTTAACAGTTTTCTCTCTCTTAGTTTGGATAAAGAAAACCATTTAAATCTGTTTCGGATGAGAAGTCTCAGAGAAGCAGTGTTTGGGTGGCAATCACTCTGCAGTAGTCATTTATTTAAAAACAATTGTTTCCACTGTAGCTAAAAATATCAAAACAAATCTTCCTGTCTACCATCATATAAACATTGTACAAAATGTACATTTCGGGACAAACAGGAGTCCAGCTGGGCACCTTTTATCTTTACATTTTTAGGTCGTTCTCTGCCTCCGCTCCCCCCATGCCACCACGGTTAGCTGGAAGCCAGAATTTCTGCTGCAAACGCCCAAGCTCTAAGAATACAAACTTGTTTAAGCTGAGACCATATTTGGAAGCGATCTGGGTCAAGAAAAATAATCAAAAGGAAAGTGCATTCCTTGGGCATCACGTGAGGTCAGCGTGCGCGCACACATCCTGGTCCTGGGATCGGATGTAGTGAAGGGAAGGGACCGTGCACGACGCTCATGAATAACTCACTGCCATTACGCTGGTGGCAAGGGCTGGTTTGACACCAACACCGACACGCTGAGCACCTCAGTTCATCTCCAGCCTACTTACAGGGCATTCAGGCTGCCTTAGAAAAAAGCTGCACTAAGTTGTACAGCACTGAGAGTGCGTGCCTGTGACAGAACATTAAAATTCATTCTGGCAACCTCCACAGGCTCCATTCTTACAAATAAACATATTTGTTTCTTTAACCATGGCAGTAGTTCTGAAATAACAGCAGTTTCTCATGAACATAAGCAAAAACTTGTCCGTGACCCAGAACCAGTATTTCTTTACTTACCCACCCAAAATACCACTCCCTGTTTATTCAAGCACTGCAAGCTCAGGGTAACTTAGAAAGCCAGGAACGTTTCACCTTGGGTAGGTAACAAAGCACATAAGCAGAGCTTGTTCTAACAAACAAATACAAGTACATCACCCCTGCACTCTTCCAACAGCTGGGGACAGGAATCTGCCCAGGTCAGATTCCTTGGAAAGCACTGAAAAGAGATGTTTATAAAACTCTGCTCTACATCCCTGTACACGTATGGGAATAACCAAGTGCACTCTTTCCAGTACTTAATTCTCTCCTCTCTCAGGTTTTATTCTCACCTCTGCTATTTATTTTTTTTACCTTGTATACTTGTTAATTTGAGAATGTCTTTCTTCTGTCTTATATGCATTCAGCTCCTGTTTCCATGTATTCAGACACCTTTACTGCAACTTCCTTCCCATCTGAGTCTGATCTGCATCTTACTGCATTTCTAGCAGAAAATGACAGGCTATAGTTACTATACATATTTTCCTACTCCAAACAGTGTAAGGCTAACTCAAAGAAAATGTGGAAGCAAGATAAGTGCATAAAACAGATAAGTTATTCAAAAAGACTGTTTCTGAAAAATATACATTGAAATTATTTTTTATTTTTGCTGTAATTTAAAAAACATAGGAATATTGACATAGCATTTAAAAACCCCAGGAAGTTTAAAGACTGGACATTGTTTCAGCTCTGAAATCCAACAGAGCAAAGCTGGAAGTCACGAGAATGTTTCCTTCATGCCCTTCTGTTTGTTTTTAGGAGATACCAATATATATCTGAACATTCTGAAACGAGATTTTTAAAGGAATGTCCGACTGTCCAAACTTGAAAGTGCTCTTCATGAAATACATCAAAATCTGTTACTCTTCTCGGAGGACAGTGTCAGAAGGTGAAACAACTGCACAGGGTTGTGTGAAACATACCAACACCCACTTTTTAACAGAAATAAACCTGCTGTATTTAAAGGAAACCATAAATGTTTAGCTTGAGATTTCTGTTTTAAATTTTTGAATGCTTTACTGTGTGCTTCTCTTTGTTCTCCCCAAGGATTTACTGGATTAACATCGGCAAGTGTTACATCATGGGTGCTTTTATACTGAATGTATGCTGTTAATATCATCATTACTTCCCTTTCCTGTATTGAAAGTAAGACACAATCATGAGAATAACAGACAATTGTAAGCAAATGGAAATGGCCATTTAAATTACCTGAAGATTGGAAACCAGATGTAAATTTATACAGCTATGATGCAGATTGTACGATTTGTCTTCACCAGAGTTAAAGCAGTATATACACAGCTACTTTAAAATGACACATTTCTTCTCAGTGTCAGCTAAGAAAAGCTTTCTACAAAAGTCCTTTCGAAAGCCATCATCTCCAAAGTCGTGCAGCTGCCAGAACAAGGTGGTTCAATTACTGCTGTTTATGCTGCAAATAAGTAGTAGGGAGAGCTGAACGATTAGAGTAAGGAGTCCATCACAAATACTAATGATTATGTGGATGGGACCCCAAAAAAAAAACCAAAGGTCTTGACTGTCCCAGTGATGTGGCAGCAGACTGACTGCAATGATAGTCCAAATCTGTGGGTCCAATTCTTAAATATTGCTATCAATTTTTACTTAAAGCCATGTCCTAACAGTAATAAAGACAACCTGAGGACAATCACATTAAATGCATATATAAGAACACTGTAAAAAATGTCATATATTCGTCACAAAAGAGGCTTCTCTCTTTTTTCTTCCTCTCTCCGAGTATTTCTTTTCAAATGAAACAGGCTTTCATTCTTATGTCAGAAAATGAGAAAAAAACCCCAAATCCTAAAATTCTGACGTTTAGAAAAAAACCATGGGAACTATTTTCATACTACAAAACATTTCACTTTACAAAAAAGACAAAAAAAAAAAAAAGAAAAAAGAACACCAAAGAGTTGTTCTGATACCCGGATCATAGGGACAAAATGGGAGACAAAAGGATGAGAAGATTTTAAAACTAGACCTCAAGTATTTCTGGATAAAAAACTCTCTCTGACATTCGATGGACATTTGTACAGGGAATTGCTGTGTGTGGAACCAGCCAGAGAGATGCTATGGATCAACCAGGAAAAAATCCCACCTTTATTTTGGTGTTTTATCATTATTCCAGTATAAACTGATATGGTGTGAATCCTCCCCACAGTATGAAGCAGGTACATTCTAACAACTTCCAACACAAATCCCAACACTGTTTAATTTACTTAACAGTACAGCCTGTCAGGAAAATTAAAATCATTTTATTTTATATCCTTTATGGTGTAAAGTATATAAACTGCACTTTTAAATTAAGTCATGCTTCGCCAAAACTGGTCTGCTTTAAGACTGCTAACTTTAGTGGAAAGAATTAAGATGTCTCAGCAAATATCAATTTCCTGTTAAAAAATGTCTGCAAGACAAAATAAACAAAAAAATCTTAATTTACAATAAGCAGTGTAAACAGCAAAACAACAGAAGCCACGAAGTCTCACACACCAGCCACCAGCAGACAGATTGCTCCAAGCACTCATAGAACTTTGTATCTTCCTTTGTTGGTTGGTTGGTATGAATTTTGCTGCAAGTAGGAGAGAATAAATCACGGTTAAAAGCGAAAATGGAGAAATTAATTGCAATAAAAGCTCACCCACAGTAAGTCCATGTTACGTGTAAATA